GTGGATGGTGAATGTAGGTAATCAAAGAAGATTATCCGTCAAAAGCCGGATTGGCCGCTCGCCTCCTTGCTTCGACCCGCAGGGGGTCAAAACACTTTTGGGATCACTAAACCGGATCCTCCATGTATATGATTCCTCTGTTCCTGGATAACTCTCTCCTCAGCGATCTCCCACTCAGGGATGTGTGTGCAAGTAGCAGAATCCTCTCCAGGTATATGGATAAGGTATAAGCCAGTATCTCAAAAAACATATATAAAACCTTCCATAGTGTAATACCTTTTATTAAGCTCAATATCAAGCAAAGAAATCCTAATATTGCACTCACATTGTTATCCTTCATAAACCAGCATTTACTGTAGAACCTCATGTTCTGGGTGTATCTGCATGGGTATGTTCACTTGGGTGCAGCAAGATGGCGTCCGCGCCGGAAGTGCGTCACCGCACACTCTGACAGATTCCAGGCTGGAATTCCCCAGGCAATGGGGGGAGATAAAACGTTGTGACAGCAGGCAGCTGAACTGAGCGATCCCACACATTGACAGATCCGACACAACACACCACCACCAACATTGACAAAGATCAGCAGGCCAAGCAGGCACTGGAAGAGCAAGCTGTGGGATCATGATGGTGTCATCACACATTGCACAGGTGATGGATGGCCGGCTGGGTCACACTCACACAGACACGAGACATCAGAGTCAGACATTACCTTCCTCCGCAGGCGCAGCTCTGCCTCTGCTGTTGAATGGGAATAGAAGGGCTGGAACTCCACAGTAATCAGCAGCCACCAGCCGGCTTGCAGTAAGGGACTGAGTCTGAGAGGAATACTGGAAGGTGTGGCTGCTCAGCTGCTATACTGGCCCCAGACACCAGGCAACTTCCTCTGTCCTTTTCTTTCTCCCCTCTGCCGCCCCGCAGCTGAAGGATCATTCATGACGTGGCGGCATCCCACACAGAGAGAGTGTTGGCCTGTGCTGCGCCCAGATGCCCCTAGGTTTCAGTGCGCCCTAGGCGGCTGCCTAGTTTGCCTAGTGGAGGCTCCAGCCCTGCATATATGCTGGTGTAAGCAGCTAAGGTTTTCTTGTTATCAGCGTTTACTAATCCAATCAACTGCAGAGGGAGTGCCATCAGCATCATGAGCCAATCAGACTCTGTTGCCTATACATGTGCCAACAATGAAAATAGTGACGGGGAGTGAGCTGAGTAATGACTCATCAGTGTGTACTGCACCTTCATTCACCAATTTGAAGGCTGATCACTCATCAGTCTGTACTGCACCTTCATTCACCAATCTGAAGGCTGATCACTCATCAGTGTGTACTGCACCTTCATTCACCCATCTGAAGGCTGATCACTCATCAGTCTGTACTGCACCTTCATTCACCAATCTGAAGGCTGATCACTCATCAGTGTGTACTGCACCTTCATTCACCCATCTGAAGGCTGATCACTCATCAGTCTGTACTGCACCTTCATTCACCAATCTGAAGGCTGATCACTCATCAGTGTGCACTGCACCTTCATTCACCCATCTGAAGGCTGATCACTCATCAGTGTGCACTGCACCTTCATTCACCCATCTGAAGGCTGCTGATCACCTTCATTCATCAGTCTGTCATCACTGTACTGCACCTTCATTCACCAATCTGAAGGCTGGTAGTATGTTATTGACCAAACAATGCTGCTGCTATGGAGTGACACCTTGCAACATTGTCTCACAGTAGTCCCTGGATAAAAACACTGGCTGCAAATAATTAAACATCTTTTATAAGGTAAGCTAGTTTCCATATTTGTACTCCAGCTGTACATTTTGCTGCTTGTCTGCAGATTACAATGAAAACCAGGGCTTTCTTCAGGAACTCCACCCTTCAGAGTCACTTCTTATCCCCACCTCTGAGCAACATCCTCCCACCTCCAAGTACTGCCCCTTTTAGAGAATACAGATCCAAATATCATTGTGTGGTGCTAAGTAATTTGTATGGATTTTGTTATAGATAACAAGGAAAGCAGTAAAAGAGATCCCCCACAGCCAGCAGCAATAGATTCTCCTAGCTACAATAGACTCCCTGCAGTAGCAACAGATCTCCCAGAAGCCAGCATCAATAGACTCTCCAGTAGCAAAGAACAATAGACCCCTCCCTCAACAATAGATCCCTTCCAGTAACAATTGACCTCCTTGCAAAAATAAACCCCCAGCAACAATAGACTGCCATGCAAAAAATAGATCCGTTACAGTGACAATAGGTCTCCCAGCAGCCAGCATCAATAGACCTTCCAGCACACCTTGCCATTACATACATTCAGTGCTGGAGGTGCTGGAACTGTGTTCCCCCACATTCCCGCTGAAATAAAGCCATGATGAAAACAATTATTCATGGAGAAGACCTTGAAGTATGGTTAGATACCTTCATCATGCCAATATCAGTCTCAGCTCCTGGTGGGACATTCACACCTTCATCCTCAGGGAAACGGCATTTGGGCTTGATCATGAATGAGAAGGCGAATTCCAGCAGAGTGTGTCATGTCTCTTATATATTCGATCTGCTGAATGAACAGCTCGAGGTGCAATCCTGTCCAGAGCACAGAGATATGCAGAAGATTTAGATGGTCAAATATGCAAGGTACTATATGCAAGGGCATATGGGTGACAGTAAACTTGATGCTTGAAGATAATTTTAAAGTGCATTTTCACTTTTGCAGCCAACACACTTCCCCTCATTAATATTTCTTCCATTCACATAGCACACATTGCTGCTTACTTTTTTACTTGCTTTTTATGTGCTTAAAAATCTTACCTAGCTTTTTCCTTTCCCCCTAATATTTAATATATTCAACCCTATCAGTACTGTGCTGGCAGATTTCAGTAACAATTGTACACTAGATTTAAACACTGTCTGCCCTAACAAAAGGTTAACGATTTCAAGGCTTTGGTGGTGCATTGTGTGTTAGTGCACTTTATCTCAGTCTGTTGCCCCTTTAAATTGTTCAAAATAACTAGCAGACCTGTATAAACCTGTTCCAAAGAAACAACTAGAAAGGTAGGAGTTTAAAAAAAAAAAAAACACTTCTAGGTATGTTGAATGAATGGGAACACATAACAAACATATAGTGGGAGTTTCTCCAATTTGACTGCAAAAGTGTAAATACAATTTAAAGCAGGACACGTAAGTAGAACAAACGTAAAACATACTTCCAGTGGCATATCAATAGCCATTTGAGGAAAATGAAAAAATAGCTTTGGACCCATAGGTTTATTTTACTGGTATTGTTATCTTAAGGTATTAATGATGGTGTAAATGATTTGGTTCCTGAGCAGGCGGCTTCTACACCCCCGAGGATCTCCACAGTTTCCTTGGCTTGTAGTGTGATGTAAAAAGAGTTGAGATTGCCAGCCTTGCCAGAACTAAAATGAAACCTATATATCTAACACGGTTTACCTAAAATTGTCAGAAAACTGACAAGGAAACGGTTTATAGTTCTGCGAAAAAAAACAGTTTAAAGGCTTAGTTCACTTTTTATAGAAAAAAAAATAGTTTTCAGTATGAAATTAATCATTTTGAACTGCCTTTTTTGCTAAAGCCATTACTATTTTATTATCTCTCATTTACTGCCATCCCTGACTGCAGAGATTGCACGCCAAACACTGGGCTTCATGTATCATGTATCCTGTTCATGTGACAGTCCAGTAAACAGTAAAGCCCGCAGAGAAACTACAGTTCCCATGATTCCATGGTGGGAAAGAGAGGTGGGTAGCAGTCGTGTGCAAAATCACTGGAAGGGAGTAGTGGGCAAAAGCTGTGGGAGGGAGTGATGGGTGGACTTGTGACTGGTGTCAGCGCACACAGGAGGCAGAGATCTTTGAGACTGCCAACAGAGGCCATCCAACATTGATGCCTAACTAGATACTAAGAAATTGTTGAGTGTGAGATAATTGATGTATATGATGGGCCTGCTCCAGCACATGGCCATTGCTCTGACAATTCTGGGAAAGTGGTACTAAAATATTTCACTGGCACTTAGTTAAGCTGTAAATTGCCAAAAAAAAAGTTGACCCCACACTTGAGCGTTTGCGATCTCGGGTAGAATTGCTGTGATTCTGCCAGAGATACCAAAAAGCTCTGCACAAATGACATCACACCACGCCTCTTCGGGTGCCATTCATTTTCAATGGCACCAAAACATGCACTTCTGCCATAACTGTTGCGTGATAAATTGTTCTAAAATTGCAGCAAACTGCATTGTGTGAAGCTTGTCGCCCAAAAGAAGCTCCTGCTCTTTTTTGAGCTACAAGCTTCATGAGATGAGGTTTGCCACGATTGCAGCACACTTTATCACTCAACAATTGTGGCAGAACCACGCTGCGTTTTGGTGACATCGAAAATGAATGCCACCCAAACAGGCGTGGTACGATTTGTCATTTGTGCAGAGTGTTTAGGGATAGCGGGCAGAATCACGGCGATGCTGCCTAAGATTACAAATGCTCAAGTGTGAACGGGGCCTTAGGGTTAAAGGGTAATTTTGTGAACAATTACTAACAATTCAGCCATAATATGAAATATTGTGATGGTAATTATTATTGCTACTGCACCCCTGTTTTATTTTTTTTTAACTTACTACTACACCTTCTGTTTCAGCACTTGCTTGCTGCAGTGGTTATAGAGTTGGCAGGATTTGGAATTAGCACTGAGGCCCTGAGATCTGAGATACTTGAAAAGAATGGTGAGGAGTAAACTGGAAAATGAAGGTGAAAAAGGTAATTCCATGAACTGATGAACCCCTGCTTGATTTCACAGTACTCGCAGTGACAGCTCTCCTGCTACCTTTCCCTGATATTGACATACTTTATGTTAAAATCAATGACGTTGCCTGGAGGTCCCATCAAAATTTTGCAATGGGTCAAAATGATCTGTAGGTACATAGTTGTATGCTTGCCTTCCACCAACTCCCCCCACCCCATTGCTCACATGTCCTAGAGAAGTTGACATGGTATTTATACTGCTCAGGGGCGAACTGACCATTTGGAAACTCGGGCACTGCCCGAGGGCCCGGGGTCAGTAGGGGGCACCATGAGATGCCCCTGGTACCTTTTTCATAGGTTTTTTTTGAGTTTGGGCAAGGACACAGGGGCCCCATGATCCCCTATTGCACGGGGGCCCCATGAGTTGTCAGTCTGCCCCTGATACTGCTATAGCGGTTTTCTCCCATTGGGCTGAAAGTGCTTCATCATCTGTTGGAGCATATGGTGATGTAGCCATTTTGGAAACACTCAGAAAAATATCATACTAGATCCAATTTTAGATAGGATCCAGTTAAGCAACCAGCATTCCTAATTGGAACTCAAACTAAAGAACCCCAGTGTTGCATGACAGAAGTGCTCACTACTAAGTCACAGTGAGGAAAACACAGTACTTCTAATGTGAGCTACATGTGCCCTCTCCCGATACCCCACAGTGCAGTGCTCAGTTCATCAATGGTCAATCAACAGGCCAAATGCTCTTTCTAGGGGCAAAGAGAGGGTCCATTTCTCGATGTAAGATCCCACTCAGTGCTAAATTTGGACTTATATAGAAAATTTGTGGAAGAGTCCATGGAAACATGGGATCACATGGAAAGTATGTGTAACTTACTCCCTGTAAGGAAAGTCCAGCCAGTCTTCTTGTAAGGAAACCCGGTTGGGCACTTGCATGTTAACTGGTCACAGCACATTGCCCTATACTTGTGGTGGCTGATGGATACTGGATAGCTTGCATGCATGGGTGCTAGTGTGAGTCTCTCCTGGCCTTTGACCAGGTTTGCATGCATGTTTGGCAACACTACATAGAGATATTGCTGAGTGGTCTTTAGCTGGATCCTAATTGATCCTGACTGTGCAACCAAACTGGCTTTGCGACTTGTTTATGGACTTCTAACTACTTGTTGAGACCTCTGACTGCCTGCTTGACTTTGTTGCCCTGTGGATCCTGACCCACAACCCTGCTGTTTGTCAATTGGTACTTCTGATGCTCAGCAATTACCAACATTGGCTTGAACTCTGGAGATCCAGTGCTGCCTGCAACTACTGACACTTCTGTCACTCCTTGTCCTCATATCCCTTGTTGCCACTTCCAAGGTTGGTGGAAAGGAGGCACATGTCAGTTTGGTCTCCATATGATACCCTCTCTGCTATAAATGGAACCTGTTGCTTTGCATTGCATGTGTGCATATTACAATTTCACTTTAATTAAACAAAATCTAACTGCAGATAAGCAGAATACAGGTGGCATCTTATATATACAATATTCTTCAGTTGGGCTTTACATGATATTAAAAGAATCTTCAGTTGCACTTCATATCACATTAAAAGGGTTAAAATTAAATCTTACCATACATAAAACCAGCTTTGGTTATATTCAGTGGTTTGGTGCTGACAGGATTTCCTTTGAAATCTATGGGCTTCTGGGAGTTGAACGTGTAACAGTTTCCAAATTTATAGTTAATAAAACCAGAGAAGTAACTGGAAAAAAAGATACACCAACAATATTAAAGGACATGTATAGGGGGCTTTTACATATTTGCTTTCTTTAAAATAGTTAAAGTGTTACTAAACACACAACAGTAAAATCAGTCTGTATATGCAGTAAAGCATGCTTGTTATACTCACTGTGGAAGCTATGGGGTTAATCCTCTGCATTGTTTAAAAATTCAGTTTGATCCTGACTTCTCTCATCCTCCCCTTCTTCCAGTGCCCCCCTCTTATCTCCCGATGATAAGACATATCATGGAGACACTCTGCACATGCTCACTTTTCTTGAGAGAGTGCATGTGATCAGCACAGGGACAATCAGCACTGTCTAGACATAGGCCAGGGGTTCTGCATCCTTCTAGAGCAGACAGAAAATTCCGCCTACAAACTTTAACATGTGCTCTGCTGGACACTGATAGAAGTCACAAGACTGCTCTAACTGCTAATGAGAAAAATGTATTTAGCAGTTCACATGTACTAAAGTAATTGCATTTCCATGTAGTGTGTACTGTGGGAGACTAGATAGACTGAACGTAGGGTCCTTGGTTTAGTAACACTTTAAGAGAAAAAAAAAAAAAATATATATATATATATATATATATATATATATATATATATGTATATACTGTATATATAAAACACTATGTAAGAATGAAATATGGCATATTAATATTTTGAAGTCTTTTATTCAGCCAGCAGGTGGAGCTTTAGGTTCCATGTCACATTTTCCATGCTCTTCATAGATCCTTTGTTCTAAGCAACCTTTTGGTTACATAGATCAATATCTGTTCAATCTGATCAATGAAGTTCATGAAGTCAATGAGTCGGAGTAGTGACTCTCCTCTCTTATTGGATGACTCTGTCCAAAGTTTTGTTGAGAAAGGAAGCTATTTTTACTGTGCTGTCTCATTAGGCAGCCTATAAATGAATAAATATTTTTGTAAGACAAATAATGTATAAATAGATATACAACATCAGTTTAAAAAATATAAATAAACTTGACTGAAAAAACATGAAGTAACCCTTTATTTTGCCAAGAAACCACTGGCAAATATGAACAATTCTGTTTATAAACAACTCAATGATGTACAGTTTCACTGAGACCCAGATATTCCCCGATTGGGTATCGCCACCTTGCCTGCCACACAGCTTAGAGAAGGTAGAACTAGGCTGTCAATCACAGCCAGAACATCAGAGCAATCCCAGCCCTCTGTCAGCATGCAGTGAGAATAGCTAACCACTTGACCTCCAGAGGATTTGTCCCCCTTCCTGACCAGGCAATTTTTTGCGTTACGGTGCTGCGTTACTTTAACTGACAATTGTGCGGTCATGCAACGCTGCACCCAAATTACATTTATGTCCCTTTTTTCCTACAACTTGAGCTTTATTTCAGTGGTACTTGATTGCCTTTGCGTTTTTTATTTTTTGAGCTATAAAAAAAAAGACTGACAATTTTGAGAAAGAAAACAATATTTTTGACTTTTTGGTATTAAACATGTCCAGTAAAAACATTTTAAAAATCAAATTTCGTCATAAATTTACACCAAAATTTATTCTGCTACGTCTTTGCTAAAAAATCCCAATACATGTAAATTAATTGGTTTGTGTGAAAGTTATAGTGTTTACAAATGGCGGTATATATACTGGGATTTTTTTTTCACTTTTACTAGTAATGGCGGCGATCAGCGACTTATAGCGGGACTGCAGCAGACATTCTGACACTGGGGAGAACTGACTTTGTGTCACTGACATCCCCAGTGACACCAATACAGTGATCAGTGCTAAAAAAAAAAGCACTGACACTGTACTAATGGCACTGGGCAGGAAGGGGTTAACATGAGGGGCGATCAAAGGGTTAACTGTGTGCTGGGAGTGTTTTACTAGGGGGCGGGATGTGTGTGCTTCACTGTAATCACACAGCTGTGGATGGCTGTGCTGCGCACAGCAGTGTGCCTGAGCTGACAGGGAGGAGCACTGTTAGTAAACAAAACAGTTCTCCTCCCTGTTGGAGATCCTCAGAAAACAGCACGCGCCAACATAGGGAGCCCCCCTGCCCCAAAGCACCCCCCTCATGTTGAGGGCATGTGGCCTGTTATGGTTCAGGAGGGGGACGCTCACTCATCTCCCCCCTTTCCTGACCTGCTGGCTGCATGCTTGGATAAGGGTTTAGATTTTGGGAGGACCCCCACAGCATTTTATTTTTTATTTCAGCATGGGCTCTCAAAATCCATACCAGACCTAAGGATCTGGTGTGTATTTGGGGGGTGGGCCACCCAATTTTAAGAAAACATTTTGAGTGGGGTAACCCATAAAATCCATATCTGACCCTAAGGGCCTGGTACAGATAGGTGGACCCCAGTGCTGCTTTTTCCATATTTTTTAGTTGCTAGTAATTGTTTTGTTTACGTTTAGCTGTCTGTGTAGAACTTGATGTAATCTATCTGAATGTCTAGCTCATGCAGTATAAAATTTGCAATTTCACCAGGCTGAAAGGCTTTCATCACTCGAGGAACCCTGGTCGGTCAGCAGAAGGCGCTGAAGCAAGTAAGGCAAGGATGGTGAAGCCTAGCTGGGTCTCCAATATGTCCAGAGCTAGTGGCATCAGTTACTCCACACTGCCAGATGAAAGAGCATGCCGGCCGACCCTGGTCCCCGCGCATGCTCAGAAACGCGTTGCATCCCGATGACGTCAGACGCCCAACACCACTAGCTCTGGACATATTGGAGACCCAGCCAGGCTTCACCATTCTTGCCTTACTGGCTGCAGTGCCTCCTGCTGACCGACCAGGGTTCCTCTTCTCTGAAACAGTCTTTACATCTGGCTACAAATGTACCACACACATCTCTATGAGCCTAATATACTGTTCGAAGATGTGAGTTGTTAAGCTTACCTTTTATTAAAATTTGTCACACAGTTTACACTTAGAGGCGCTGTGTTCTTTGTTTCTTCTACTCCAGAGTTTGCTTCACTCCATTGCAGCCTGCCCTAGTGCTTACTGGATTGCCCTTGCCCCCATTGGAACTTTTCCATTTATGCAACATACAGTATACATCGACTGCTACATTATGCGCCTGCTATTCTCTTTGTATATATGTTACAACAGCAGGACTGTTACCAAAGACATGTACTTTCATGCGATATTCAATCACTTCATTGTTTATATTGTTGTCACGGTGCCTTTGAATCCTTAGGAAGTTCCTCTTACTATAAAGCAAAGGAACATTTATTCAATGTTAACAGTTATGGCAACTGGCTCTCTTCAGAACCTCATAGGTACTCCTACAAGGTTTTTGGTTAGGTTAGGACAAGTGAGAAGAACATCATTCAGGGATACGCCTTGATGTTTGGCATTGGAGTCAAACATTACCTTGATTTGTTTCAGTTTTCGTGGATGATACACTCTGAAGAAAGGCAGATACCAGCATCCGTCATGTTCTAGAAGATGTGGGGCTGGCTCAGCGTGATCATTGTCAAAGATCTTTTTCATAAAGACAATGAAATGGTACTTCATTTCAAACCTGTTCCTGAGTGTTCATTGAAGTAAGCTGAATCTGGATAAAGCTTGTTCATGATTGTTTATAAGTCTGACTCTTGTAGCACGAAGAGGTAATGGTGCAGCCCAACTGTTTGATTCATCTTTGAAGAATTAATTGTCCATTATTGTGATGAACTCTCTGTCTTCAACTGACAAGGCTATTCTGTTGTCATCGTGTGTAGTACGAAACACTGTGCTACCTAAGTTGTCATCACAGGGGATGGGAGTAACATCAGATACCTTT